TTCTCCTTTGTGCTTGGTTCCTCAAGTTTCTCTCCTTCAAAAGAAACCGAACCTCTTACCTTGCTTCTCCTCCATTGGAGGTGTCTTCAAGGAGCTTCCGCCATCATCAAGTCTTCAACCTCAAGGAGCAAAGGTCTTGGAATGTGGATTTCTTGAAGAACATCAATCCTCTTCAAGAGAGTTCCATCAGGCTACATTGAGGATCAATAACACCCCAATGGTGAAGGTGTCGAAGGGTAGACAAACATTTGGTTTCTTGAAATGGTATTCATACATGAAGAAGAAACACATTTCATCGTTGTCAGTTTCTTACTAGACCGTTTCCTCCTCCAAGGGTCTTTGGCCTTCTAGAAGATCACAACACCCAAACTGGACAATATTAGTACCCTTGAGGAAGTGAGTTAACAAGTCTTTGTAAGTAAATTTAGAGGAATACTTGAAAACTTTGTTGTGAACCAATTTGAATACTCCTTAGTGTTCATAACAAATCTAACTCTCTAGTTAAGATCAACATCAAGTTTGGATTGTGTGCTGGAGGGGCCGATCTTGATTGCTTAAGGAGCTTCTTTGACAGTTGGCTGGAGTCACTAAGGGGTGTTATCAAGGCACTAGGCATTAGGCGCGTGTAAACACTCAATTTTGTCCCCCTTTTATTTATTTATTTATTTATTTTTTTCATTTTTCATTCCTTTTATTTATTATTTTTCATTTTTTATTAATCACGTTATACTATTTTTTTTTCTTTTTCAGGAATAAAAGTTAACTTAAATACAATATAAAAATAATAAATAAATTTGGCGTTTCAAAAATGCTAAATATTGAGTTTTTGTATATATATATATATATATATGAAAAAAAAAACCAATAAATATTAAAAATGCAATAAACAGAAAATCTTCTAAAATCTCTCTCAATCCATTCCTATGTTCTAATCAACTACCAATTTCAGCCTATGAGCGGACCTATGTTAAAAGGGTCATATCTCTTACGAGTAAAAAAAAGGAAAATGAAGAAAGAAAAAAGGATTAAATAGAAGAACATTCTACACACACTGCACACGACGAGGAGTGAGGGAGCTCATTTCTCAAAGTATATAAGGTTGAACGGATTGTAGGGGAGGGCCTCTCTTTTTCACATACACAGTACTCACACCTAACGCTTTACCCTAGGCATTTTTCACACACAAAGAGTACTCACTACAAGATTTGGATGACATACATTAAACTTTGATCTTCCTTGAATCCATCATGGCTCATGCATGCGGTCCCAGAGCTCGAGTTGGCAGCCACTCCTACCTAGCATTGTATCTTCATGCCAACATTAGCGGTTGTGCCTGCCACCAAATCACCTAAACCAAATTTTCTTTCTTTTAATCAACACCACAAACACGAAACTGTTGCATAAGAAAAAGAGTTGGTAAGACATATTTCTTCAATTTTTTCCTCAGGCTCGCAACTTCTATCTTTTATTACTTACACTTTTGTTTCATTTGTATCATGAATATTTCCATCTAATTTGTTTTTAATTATATTATTCACCTCATCCATGCATAAAATCGTGCTTAGTATCACGTGTCACCAAGTCCGTGAACTTTTCTTTCTTTTCTTGGATATATCACGCTTCCATAACCCACGTAAACTTGGTGCATGCAGTTTTGTTTTTTTAGCTTTTATCAAGGTTGGATAGAATATATTTTCATTTTTTTATTATATTTTGTGTGCAAAACTACTGAAAGTTAGATTAGCATAAAAAGGAATCGTAAGACTTACCGAATATGAATCAAATAGTAATCACGTAATTCCGCGTTGAAATAAGGATTAAAAAAATCAATGAAATCATTTAAATTTAAAGTTCTCATCTTATAATAATAGAATGAAATCAAAATTTTGTGTCTTAGTTAAAATAGTTATTAATAATAATGATTCCTTTTAATAGTAAAATAAGAGAAAGAGTTTGGTTGAATGCAACATTTTTTTACTCTCAAAATATTTAGAGCACAAGTTGTGACAACTTGATTATTCTAAAAATTCTTAAAAAATATTTCAAATATTAAAATAAAGTATTTATGATTTAAAATCTAAAAAATATTACAAATAAGATTTTTTTAGTGAAAAATGGTCAAATAGACTTGACGTCTTTTTAATCCCTAAATTGCCTGAAAACATATAGTTATATAATCTTGAGATATTTTAAAATGAAGCACATTACAAATTAGAAGTTCAATTTAAAAATCAAGTTTTATATAAATAAAATTAATCAAGTAATATTTGACAAAAAGATTATTTGAATGTGACATTCTCTTAATCTTAGAATGCAAGGATACAAGTTGTGACAACTTGTTATCCTAAAACTCTTTTCTAAATTAATTCAAACGTATAATTCTTACCATTAAAAATATCATTATATAATTTTCACTAAATATTTAAAAACATTGTAACAAAATTTATTACAAAACAATTAATTTTTGTTTTTACCACAAAAATTATAATAATCATGATTAATCAAAGTTAAATAATTCAATAAATTGGCTTTGGTGTACACCTTTGTCAATTTTAGTTTATATGAGCTGAGACAGCTCAAAATCCCCAAATTGAATTAAAATGATGAATTTAAATAAAAAAAACTATTAAAACGTTTTCTTTCAAGAACTAGTGACTCTAATTCTTCATTACATATGGAGATACGTAGGAGCAGGAAATTATTCCTGTCGAGCTCAAAAATAAAAATAATAATATTATCTCATTCTTACATCAATAATAATAATAATAAACAACTTTAATATTCAATGCACTTGTTGAATAAAATATATGTGATTATCATCGTTAATTTCTATTAATTTGGGGTGAACATTTTAAAAGTTTTAATAGTTTGCTTGATTAATTAGAGGTAACCGTCTTTACGATGGTTGTTGTAAGGTGCTAATACCTTCTGTACCGGAAGGATCCTATCAACCACGTGGGGACGACACGTGACACCCTATCGGCCACCGAGACGACCGAGACAAAGGTTGTTCATGCACTAGTCTCGACCATCTCAGCCGCCGAGATAACCGGAGCATAAAGACTGCGACAGATAGTTCGGCACGGCTCTCGGACACGGCAGTGGCCGTGATAGCGAACCTTCGAGACCATCAAAGGCTTAACCAGGATAGTGTAACTTGCTGGCCTTCTTCATAACGTCTCGGCTCGGTAGGGGGCCGAAACCCGAAAAGAACCCCGGTCTCGGCTTGGCAAGAACCCGAAACACGGGATTAGGGCATAATCAGCTGATTAGCACCATATTACCTAATTTGGTAAGTGTCAGAAGAGACCCACCACGTTCAAGGCCCATCATAAGTAGTATAAATAAATTACGTAAAACGAGGTATACACTATTCATTTATTACTATCAAGATTCGTGTTTGTCTTGACTTGAGCGTCAGAGTGCCTTTTGCAGGTACCTCCCCCCTCTAAAGCATCCACTCGGAGCTCTTGTTCGGCCCTCAAATTATTAGAAGATTACGAGTGTGCCTTTAGACAGGTATAATATATATATATATATATATATATATATTCATGAGATAAGATATATATTTTTATTATTTAATTTTCTCAATTAATTAAGGTAACTTAGATCATCAATTAAATTATGTCACTATTTTATATAAAGAAATAATAAAATTATAGTTTTATTTCAATCAAATTTTTATAAATTATAATTATGATATTATAGTTTATTAAAATTCATATTAAGAAACTAATAATTTGATTTTATATTTAGTTGATAGTTACATATCTTAAACAACATATTAATTCATAATTAAGAGACATAATTTGATTAAAATAATAGTTATAAAAAATAATAAATGGCATGTCATTATTATTTATTAATATATTACGAAATGTACTAGGAGGCACCTCTTCGGTCAAGCAATAAGCCGATAGGGGTGCCCGAACCGACGAAGACGCTGTTCACAGGTGGGTACCCCTTCGGTCAGATAGTAGGCCGAAAGGGGGACCCGAACCGATGTAACACACTACTACACCCCCTCGGCCTTAGGATAGTCCGAACACCTCCACGGCCTCAGGGTAGGCCAAACACCCTTTCGGCTTCGTACCGGGCCGAGGACTTCGACAAGGACCAGCCGTAACGCACTACTACATCCATTCGGCCTTAGGATAGGCCGAACACCTCCTCGGCCTTAGGATAGGCCGAACACCTCCTCGGCCTTAGGATAGGCCGAATACCCTCTCGGCCTTGTACCTGGCCGAGGACTTCAACAAAGACCAGTTAGAACAACACGTGACAAAATTAGACACTTATTATATAGTAATTACCATGCCTGATTAAGAAGAGATTAAGGTTAATTCAGGTGTTACCCATCTCCCAAGACTGAAGGCCCACCAGGCCCAATTGTGTCTCTATAAATACACAGGTGATGTGACATAAATGAGGTACGTTACTATTCCCGCTAATGCATTTATTACTCTGAATCGAACACTGACTTGATCGTCGGAGTGCCTTTGCAGGTACCCTCCCCCACCACTTGGAGCTAGTGTTCGGTCGGCACGGAAGATTCAGAAGGGCTTGGAGGCAGCTAGGAAGGATCCAGGAGAGGAGTGTTCTTACGCAGGAACATTTTGGCGCCCACCGTGGGGCCGAAACTAGAACGGTTCTCGACCCCGAAGCAAGATGGTACTTACGAGAAGTCAGCAGGAGAACGTAGCCACCGAACACCCGTACGGGATGCCCCGAGATAATCCAGTACGATCGACTAACCAAAATGAGGTAGGAATGGAGGAGTCATATGTGGTGCGATCCGAACAACCTAACCCTTCGTCGGCAATAGAGCAATTAAAGGCCAAAATGATGGAGCTTAGAAGACTCCGAGAGAAAGATGCCCACGAACTATCGGTCTTGAGGAAGGAGAATGCTGAGCTCAGAAGCGACAACCGATCATGGCTCCCGTCCCATGATATTCCTAATACTCAATCAACGCGAGACCTAGGAGAGTCATCCGGATGGTACAAGGAGCCGACGGACCCCAAGCCACAACGAGAGCGATAACCACTTCCCTTGATCAGCAACGAAGACAGGGGAGGTCTCCTTTCGTCCCAGACATCGCCGGAGCACGGTTACCCGACAATTGGAAGAGCTTGACCTTGGAAAAGTATGACGGAACCGTCGATCCCGAAGAACACGTTGATGCATTCGTCACCCAAGTCGGTCTATATACAGACGATGATGCCGTCATGTGCAAGGTCTTTCCTACCTCGTTGAAAGGACCGGCGCTCAACTGGTTCACAAGGCTCCCGCCGGGATCGATCGATTCATTCACCACTCTGTCATCCCATTTCACGATACAGTTCGCCACGATTCGTCCGCACCAGCTTACCTCAATCGCGTTGGTTAATATCCGCCAAGAGAAGAAGGAGCCCCTTAGAGCATTCTTGGAAAGGTTCGGAAAAATGACTTTGTCCATTCGAAATCTAGACCCCGCAGTGGCCATGCACCACCTCACCACGGCGCTGCGGCCGGGCCCTTTCGTGAACAGTTTATGCAAGAAACCACCTAGAGACTTGGATGAGCTTCGACAAAGAGCCACGAAGTACATGAAAATGGAAGAATTGACCGAGTTCCGAAACCAGAACCGGTCCGACCCTTTTCCAGGAAGGAAAGAAGTTGAAAAAGAACACAACTCAAGGCCTCGCCCGAGGGACATGCCCACAGAGAAAGAGCCAACAGGGGGCCCCGATACACGCAGTATACGTCGCTTAATGCCACTAGGGCCAAGGTGTTGGAGCAGGCGCTGGCCACAGAAATCCTAGCAGTTCCTCGTCGAGTTATGACTCCGCCCCACGCGGATAAAACCAAGGCATGCCACTTCCACAGGAACAGAGGACACACCACCGAGGAATGCACGGCTCTCCGAGACCGCATTGAGGATCTTGTCAAGTCTGGCCATCTCCAGAACTTCACCCAACCTTCGGGAAGGAGGAGATACGACAATTCTTGGGAGAGGAGAGGAAACAGTGAAAAAGCACTCCCGAGGCATCGATCTAGGGAGAGAAGCAGGACCCCTGAAAGAAATGACCGGCAGCCTGAACGAAATCAACCCAAGAGGGTGATAAATACGATTGCCGGAGGATTCGCGGGAGGAGGAAGCACATCCTCCGCCCGAAGGAGGCACTTAAGAGCAATCAAGTCGGTAAATGCTGTAGGAAGGGCAACCATTCACATGCCTCCTATCACATTTACCGATCGAGACTTCAAGGGGGTAGACCCGGTACAGGATGATCCAATGGTCATCAGTGTCGAGATCAACAATTGCGTGGTAAAGAAGACGCTGGTTGATCAAGGAAGCTCGGCGGATATCCTATATTGGAAGACATTTGAACAGCTCGGCATTCCCAAACAAGAATTAACACCCTATGGTGAGCCCTTGGTCAGATTTTCTGGAGAACGGGTGGATACCAGGGGAACAATCGATCTGTACACCTACTTTGGCGACGACCAGCATAGGCGAAGAATCAAAGTTCGATATGTGGTTGTGCACGCCAACACTTCATACAACATCTTGTTAGGCCGACCATCCTTGAATAAACTCCGGGCCATCGTTTCCACACCTCACTTAGCCATGAAGTTCCCCTCGGAGGAGGGAACGATCATCACCCTCCACGCGAACCAGAAAACGGCTTGCGAATGTTACTTTGCCAGTCTGAGAGTTCAATCGACGCTGAGACACACCCGAGATGTCAATGTCATCGGAGACACCAGCCAACCCAACCCAGTTGGTGACTTGGAATTGGACCCTAGAGTGGCAGACGAAGGCAGGGTTGAACCGATTGAAACAACGATTCCTTTTCAGCTCGGGAAGAAAGAGGGGCAGGTTACATTTCTGAGCTCTCAACTATCTGAAACGGAAGCCGAAGACATCAAAAAGGTCTTGTGAGGGTATTCCGAGTTGTTTTCTTGGACTGCCGCGGACATGCCGGGGATAGATCCGAATTTCCATTGTCATCGCCTTTCGGTATGCCGAGACGCTAAGCCCGTGGCCTAGAAGAAAAGGAAAATGGGTGGAGAAAGGGCCGACGCAATAAAGGAAGAGACCGCTAAGCTACTCGAAGCAGGATTCATAAGGGAAGTCAAATACTCCACTTGGCTGGTCAATGTGGTGATGGTGAAGAAGTCAAACGGAAAATGGCGGATGTGCACCGATTACACGGATCATAACAAAGGCCAGGAAATTCCAGTGGACCGATGAATGTGAAGAGTCCTTTCAAAACTTCAAGGCAGTACTCGCAGCACCACCGTTGCTCGCCAAGCCCGATCCTCGATTGGATATGATCGTATATATTTTAGTGTCAGACAAGGCTATCAGCACTGCCCTAGTGCAGGAACCATCCGAACAAGTTCCCGTCTATTTTATCAGCCGAGTGTTGCAGGATGCCGAGACTCGATACCAACATCTAGAGAAGACGGTGTTAGCTCTCATGCACACTGCAAGACGTCTTCGGCATTACTTCCAGAGCCATCGGGTACTCATTAGAACTGATTGCCCCATCGTAAAAGTATTACGGAAGCCCGAGCTTGCCGGGCGGATGGTCGCATGGTCCATAGAGCTATCCCAGTTTGACATCCGTTTTGAACCAAGGGGCCCTATCAAGGCACAAAGCATGGCCAACTTCATTAACGAGTTTACCCCTCAAACGGCTTTGGAATCGATCATTTGGACCCTGCATGTTGACGGGGCGTCAAACGATCGAGGTAATGGAGCAGGCGTCATACTCGAGGGTCCCGACAAGATAATAGTAGAACTGTCATTGCGCTTCGGCTTCAAGGCCTCCAACAATCAAGCCGAGTATGAGGCTCTTCTCGCAGGCTTAAGGTTGGCAAAGGATTTGGGTGTCACTAGGGTCAAATGCTGGAGCGATTCACAGGTAGTAACGGGCCAAGTCAACGGTACCTTTCAAGCCAAGGAGCCGACACTGCTGTTATATTTCTACGCCTTTCAGAAGTTGAAAGATAACTTTGAAGAAATCCGCGTCGAGCATACTCCCCTAAACTTAACACAAGAGCCGACCAGTTGGCTAAGCTGGCAAGCACCAAGAAGAACAGCCATTTACGCAGCATCATACAACAAGAACTGCAAACGCCAAGTGTAGGGGCAACCAAATGTTTACACGTACAACAGGAAGAGGATAATTGGATGACCGGAATAAGGCATTACTTGTCAACCGGGGAGTTGCCCAGTGACCCTCTCGAAGCCAAAAAACTGAGGACTGTAGCCGCACGGTACACACTAATTGCCGGAGAGCTATATAAGCAGGGCATATCATCGCCATTGTTGAAATGTCTCACGTCCGAACAAGCACACTACGTCCTTCGGGAAATTCATGAAGGAATATGTGGGACACACTCAGGAGGACGAACCTTAGCCGCTAAGGTAATCCGCGCCGGTAACTACTGGCCAACCATTATGGCCGACTGCATGAAGTTCACCCAACAATGCAAACCATGCCAACAGCACGGGCCGATGACAAACCTGCCAGCCGAAGAACTACACTTCATCACTGCCCCCTGGTCCTTCTCAGTATGGGGCATGGACATCCTCGGACCCTTTCCATTAGCCAAGGGGAAGGTCAAGTTTCTTATAGTAGCGGTTGATCACTTCACCAAGTGGATCGAGGCAGAAGCAGTCGCCACTATATCCGCCAGCAGTGTTCAAAAGTTCTTTTGGAAGAACGTTGTCACCCGGTTCGGAGTACCTTACGCCCTAATCACGGACAACGACTTGCAGTTCACAGACCGTCGTTTCAACGAATTTCTTGAGGGACTCCATATCAAGCACCAAGTTACGTCAGTAGAGCATCCGCAATCCAACGGCCAGGCCGAAGCAGCCAACAAGGTCATTCTGAGGGAGTTAAAGCGGCGCCTCGGCCAGGCTAAAGGGGAATGGCCTAACCACTTGCACGAAATCCTGTGGGCCTATAGGTGCACACCACAAAGCTCAACCAGGGAAACTCCTTTCCGACTAACCTATGGAACCGATGCCATGATACCAGTAGAGATTGGAGAACCCTTCCTCAGACGACAACAATTCACCGAAGAGGCTAACACAGAAGCATTGAATGTGGAGCTCGACCTGATTGAAGAGGCACGCGATCGGGCGTTCATTAACATGGAAGCTTGCAGAGCCCGCATCTCCCGCAAGCACAGAACCAAAATCAAACCACGAGAATTCCAGCCTGGAGACCTCGTGTGGCGGGTAGCCGGGGAAGCCAGAAAAGACAGGGCCCATGGGAAACTAGCACCCAATTGGGACGGCCCTTTCCGAATAAGGCACAACCTTAACAACGGGGCTTACAAACTCGAAGAACTCGGTGGAAGGGCCATCCCCCGAACATGGAATGTCACCCATTTAAAGCACTATTATAGTTAGCTGAAATCATGTAACTGTTTCGGTGTACTCTTTTCCTTTTTCAGGTTTTATCCTCTAAAAGAAAAAAAATGTAAGAGGTTTTTCTGGAAAAGGTTTTTAATGAGGCACCCTATCAATGAAACAAACTCTTTTGAATCAATTGATGGCCTAATCTAATTACAAGTTAGCGAATAAATTCCCTCCCGAACTACCTCGTTCGGCCAAGGATGAACACTTATTCCCTCCCGAGTACCCTAACTCGGTCAAGGACGAAGTAAATTCCCTCCCGAACTACCTCGTTCGGCCAAGGATGAACAATTATTCCCTCCCGAGTACCCTAACTCGGTCAAGGACGAAGTAACATTCCCTCCCGAACTACCTCGTTCGGCCAAGGATGAACACTTATTCCCTCCTGAGTACCCTAACTCGGTCAAGGACGAAGTAACATTCCCTCCCGAACTACCTCGTTCGGCCAAGGATGAGCACTTATTCCCTCCCGAGCAACCTCGCTCGGCCAAGGATGAAAAAACAAATCCCTCCCGAGCAACCTCGCTCGGCCAAGGATGAAAAAATCAACTCCTTCCCGAACTACCTCGTTCGGCCAAGGACGAAAACTTACTTCCCTCCCGAACTACGTCGGCCAAGGATGTCTAAACCATTCCCTTCCCGTACACTCGCCCGACCAAGCATCAAAGCTTAGTCTAAAGGTGGGTATTAAACTTCTTTTCCAAACTAACGTCGTTCGGCCAAAGGTAATAACTCGTTTCGGTCGTGCAAAAGAACGAAGTCCAGTACATAGTCGCACAGCAAGAAAAAATCCGAATAAGAGACAGAAAATTCGTTAAGGGCTTTGAATTCAAAAGCGGCACTAACGGCCGAAGGGTACAATTGTTCTACGGCTCAAATGGCCTATAATAATCGAAATAAGTATCCCTATAACTATACATCATCCACAAAACAGATGTATACTAAAAAAAAAAAGGGATTGACGCATCCCTCAGTCGGCGTTGCCAGTCTCCTCGGTCTCTTCATCTTCATTCAAGGTTGTCCCCGGATCCTCCACAGGGGCCGAACGGGGGGGTGCCCTTTCATCCGGCTCCATGTCATCCGGCGCGCTAGCAAAATCCATAAACTCCCCTTGAAAGAAGTCTTTACTCAGTTCGAACGAAAAGTCCGGGGGAAAGGCGCCGAAATGATTGGCTTGCCGAACTGCATGCCAAAATCCTTCTTCATGCTCCTTCACGATCTTACTCTCACATTCAGCCCGGAAGGTTGCCATCGCAGCGTCAGCTTCGGCCTTCGCCCTTTCTGCTTCAGCCTGGAGTTCCTTCACCTCCTCAACCCGCATCCGCTCGGCATCTTCCGCCGCCTGAACTCGACCTTCCATCCCTTCATAGGCCTCCTTCCAGTGGGCCACCTCGGCCTCCAACGCCGCTTTCTCACCAGCTAAAGCCTCTTGCACCGAGAGGGATTGTTGCAGAGCCAACTTCGTATCTTCCAGGCTCTTTTGGAGATTATGCAAGTCTCCCATCGGTTCCAAGGCCATCTTTCGAAATATGGCGGTGGCCCTCATGTGCAACTCGCATGCCATCGCCCACCGAGCCGAAGGAGTGGCCGCATCAAGCATAATATGCCCTTGGGCCGATAGCAAATCGGAAGACATCATTCGGGCCGGCCTGATCTCCTCCGATAAGAAGTCCTTAGCAACGATGGCCGAAGGTGCGGCCAAATCTGTGGAAGGACCCTCAACCCTTCGTTGCTTAGGCCGAGAGGCTTCCGTCCCCGTGGCATCGGTCCTCTTTTTCCCCTTGTCTTTTCTTTTTTTGCCCCTGGAATCGGGAAGGGCAATAACAGAAGGCGTGGGCCGAGGAGCATCCGTGGCCTGAGGCTGCCGATCAATGGCAATGCTGCGATGATCTTTGGCAGAGGTCCCGGCCGGGGCTTTGCTCCGCATCAATTGCCGGTACGACAGTCCCAATCCTTGTTGCGCCATCCAGCCTGCAAAAATCAAACAAGTCACACATCAACTCAACAAGCACAATCAATACGAAGTAACAAAACATACCCTCTAAATCAAAACGAGGCCGAGACGACTTCGGCAGCAGCACCAGAAACCGAGAAGGGATGCATTTCGGCAATCCTCTGAGAACGTCTAAAGCCGACAACTCGGCGTCAGTCATCATGTCCTCGGGAAAGTCATCGTACTTCCGAGGCTGTCGGGTACAATAAAAAGGAAAAAGGGGTTTCTGCTCGGCATCATAAAAATAATTCCGACCGGCAACAGGGTCTATGATTACTTTCACAAACCCCGATTTAAAACCCTTGAAGGACGACGTTAAGGGCGTTAATAGCGGTCGGTCGACGTTCCGAATCAACGAGAGCCACTTCACGGTCTTATTAGACGGACGAGTACAGAAAAAATGTAAAAATAATCCTACGGTCGGCTCTATATAATGGTATTTACAAAGTACCCTGAATGCTTGCATATAAGCCCACGCGTTTGGGTGCAACTGCGTCGGTGCCACGTTCAA